TTTTTTTTTTTTGAGCAGAACCTCAAGCTGTCGCCCTGAGTAGAGGGCGTATGGCATCACAGCTCACAGCAACCTCCAACTCCTGGGCTCAAGCAATTCTCCTGCCTCTGCCTCCCAAGTAGCTGAGACTACAGGCACCTGCCACAATGCCTGGCTATTTTTTGGTTGTTTGGCCATCATTGTTGTTTGGCAGGCCTGGGCTGGATTTGAACCCGCCAGCTCAGGTGTATGTGGCTCACGCCTTAGCCACTTGAGTCATAGGCGCAGAGCCTTGACCTTTTTTGGTTATGGACTTCACTGAAAATTTTTTGTATGCTACAGGATACTCTTCCCAGACTTGTACATCTTTATACATTTTGGTTACAATTTCAGGAGGTTCAGAGATTCCTGAACCTCTTAAGCCTCAGATTCAGAACTCTGATGTAGACTTATTTTTTGATTTTATTACAAAGCCTTTGTTGTTGATGGAATATTATTTTAATATAACCAGTTGTGATTATTTTAATATGGATCTGATTATAAGGTCTGAGCTTCCTCATAAAATGTCATTTTGAGAAGCTAATGAAATGTTGATCATGTTGTTTGGTAGTATCAGGAAAAATGGTGCAGAGATGATTTGGCTAGTAGTTATCAAAAATCCTACTGGAACATGCTGTTCTTAATATTTTCATTCCCTTAGCTACTCAGGCAAGCAGCCACAGTTTATTTCTGTCCATGATGATGGAATTTACTTGTCAGGCAAATGTGCATATATACACTTAAATCCTCTGATTACTATCCTGATTATTTCCAGGATCTTGCTACTTTTATTATTTATTTATTTATTTTTTTTTTTTTATTGAGACAGTTTCACTATGTCGCCCTCGGTAGAGTGCCCATGGCATCACAGCTCGCAGCAACCTCAGCCTCTTGGGCTTAAGTGATTCTCTTGTCTCAGTCTCCCAAGTAGCTGGGATTACAGGTACCTGCCATAGTGCCTGGCTATTTTTCTGTTGCCATGGTCATTGTTGCTTTGCTGGCCTGGGCCAGGTTCAAAACCGCCAGCCTCGGTATATATGACTGGTGCTATAACCACTGTGCTACAGGCGCTGAGACTTTTATCGGTTTTATTAAAGAAATAATATGACTAAGTAAATGCTCAGCAAGGTCAGTAAACCCTAGTAAGTGCAGTTTACATTTAGGAACTTTTAGAGTAAACTCTATTCTGCATCAAGGTCAGCCTTAAAACACTGTCAGCATGTTCAGTTATTTTTTTTTTTGGGGGGGGGG